CTCCTCCACCAGATTCACTCAAATATGTTTTATTGAGGCAGAGTAAACGATACGAGTGTCGTTATTTCGTTTATCAAGTTCACTCCCCCCCCATCCCAACCCCGTGGCGATGACCTGGCCACATTTCTCTCGTTTAGCAGATCCCTCCACCACCCGACTTGGGAAAAACAAAATTAATCCGTCACGCGTGTGTCGCACGTTGAACTTCTTTCGCACCGTACGCAGCCAGCCGGGATGCTCAAGAGACAGAGAAGAGAGAGAGCATATTCGAGAAATGCCATGGCAGCATAGGGAGGGTTAAGCAACTCAGGAGGTTCGCAAGAAATTGCGGCAAGACTGGCGAGCGCTGTGGATTGTAAGCAGGAAGCGGAGGTTGAGATGGGTGGAACCAAGGCCGTAATCATAATATATATTGGGGGGGGGCACATCCCCCCCCAATATTAAAATATGCTCAAAATGTCCCCCCCCCCCAATATATTGCTAGCAAAAATATAAAAAAATAAGAATTTTTATGCTATGTAAATAAAAATAACAATTTGCTAAACCTTGGCCACAATATCTGGACTTGTCTTCATTTAACAATGCATGGAATTCTGTTTATATGAGTGTGGTTATAGTTGTGCTTTATTAATCCCTAATTTTTGCCATTGCATACAATGAAACAAGAAATGGTAAAACGTAAAAATAGAGCAATGTAATACAATACACTAGTAGACATTATTGTAATTTTTAAAATAAAAAGTCTATCCCATGTGTTAGTGAATCGGGATCTTTTATTTGTACCGGAGGAATCCGATGAGCTCTCAAGCTCTTTTTGTGCACACATGCCCAGCTCCAAGCTCGTGTGCTGTTTCATTCAGACGCTGTCTCCCCGACAGACCTGGTTTTCACCTGAGGACGGCTGCTTGCGTTGTGGCCGAAACGTCGTGAGAATTATTTTATTATGTTTTATTTTTATTATTTTATTACTTCCCTTCCACGTGACTAAGAAGCGGTGTTCTCCTGCCGGCCTGCGCGACACAACACCGTTGTTCAGGCGGGGCGAGGGGAGTGGGAGAGAGATGGGGGGAGGGGGGTGGGCAGAGAGAGAGATTGAGCGTGGCAAGTGAGAGGCAGACGGAGACAGAGAGATGAAAGGGAGGTGGCGCACGCGTGTGGTGTGCATGGGGAGAGAGGGTGCGGGAGGCGCTCCTAACGAGCCCTTTGCTAACTAGGCCATGCCATGCGGGTCCTCTGCCAGTGTGGTTGCCATAGAGATGCAGTCTCCGATCCCCAGAGAAGAGGGTGGGTGGGTGGGGATGTGGGAGTTTGCATTTTTTATGATATTTTGTGTAAGCAATACTTTTTTTTTTACGTTGAAAAGACGCATAGCTAAAGGAGACTTTGCTTATTTATTTCCATTGGCGTTTTAAAAATAAACACGTTTTTATTTGCAGAGCTGCGTTAATAGGTATTCTTCCGAGGGTGGAAATTTGTCTGGGTGGGTGGTTAGGTGGGTGGGTGGCTGGATGGGTGACTGGGTGACTATGTGACTAGATGGATGGGTGGCTGACTAGGTGGGTGGGTGGCTGGCGAGGTGGGTGGGTGGCAAGGTGGCTGGGTGGCTAGGTGGGTGACTGGCTAGGTGGTTGGGGGGCTGGATGGGTGGGTGGGTGGCTGGCTAGGTGGGTGGGTGGGGGCTAGGTGGGTGGGTGGCTGGCTAGGTGGGTGGGTGGCTGGCTAGGTGGGTGGGGGGCTGGCTAGGTGGGTGGGGGGCTGGCGAGGTGGGTGGATGGGGTGCTGAGTCTAAATGATGAATGAGGCTGAGACAAAGGGGACCCCCCACCCTCTGCCGGGCGGTTCCGTCAGTGACCGCACGATTTCGGCAGTGTCGCTAGGAACTACCACCACTCATTTCGACGGACCAAAGACAAAGATCCCCCGTATAGCCTTAACAGACCGTTGGGGCAAGTCCTGTTAGCGAGCATTGTATGCGCGGCACACGAGGAGGTGGGTGGCCAGCACCACGCCCTGCCCCCTTTGTCTCCCCAGTGGCGATGTTTACGCACCGTACCCAAGGTACTCGTTTGAGGCTGAGTCGACTTAGGGGAGGCCCAGGACCGGTTCAGATAATCGCCACCGGTGTTGGCCGTGAGCGGGAATCGAACTCGGGTCACCGGGTTTGCAGCACGGCGGCGCTAACCGCTGCGCCACCGCTCACCCACACACCCACGCACACCTACGCACACCCACGCACACCGCACCACCCCTCCACACACCCCCACACACCCACGGACACCCACACACACCCACACACACACAAACCCACGCACACCCACACACACCGTACCACCCCTCCACACACCCACGCACACCCACACACACACACCCAGACACACCCCCACACGCACTCCCCCACACACACCCCCACACGCACTCCCCCACACACACCCCCCCACACACACGCACACCCCCACACACACCCCCACACACACACGCACACCGCGCCACCCGTGCAGACACTCTGCGCGTTTGGACAGCGCGATAATGAGATCCACACAGCACGGGGGGCGGGGGGGGGGGAGACCGGGGGGAGGGGCAGATACAGCAAACACACGTGTACACACACGTGTACACACACGCACACGTGGACACACGCACACACACACGTGGACACGCACACACACACGTGTACACACACACGTGGACACACACGCACACACACACGTGGACACACAGACACGTGTACCCACACATGTGGACACACGTGTACACACGCACACACACGTACACACACACGCACACACACACGTGTGTACACACACACCGACACGTTATACACGTGTATATACAAAGACAAAGATTCCCCGTACAGCCTCAGCAGACTGTTGGGGCAAGTGCTTTTCGCGAGCACCTATGATGGCCGGCACGCGTACAAACGTACGTTCACGTGTGCATATTTACATGCCAAGACAACGATCCTCACGTATGTAGGTGTGATAGTGTATGTGGGGAGTGGTGGCGCAGTGGTTAGCGCGCTGCGATATGAACCCTGCGACCCACGTTCGAGTCTTGCTCACGGTCAACACCAGTGACGATTATCTGAACCGGTCCTGGGCCTCCCCCTAGGTCGACTCAGCCTCAAATGAGTACCTGGTGCGGTGTGTAAACATCGCCACTGGGGAGATAAGTGGCCGGGCGTAGTGCCAGCTACCCACCCCCTCGTGCGCCTTGTTGGCCTTCATAGGTGCTCGCAAACAGCACTTGCCCCAACAAATTGTTACGGCTATACGGGGGATCTTTGTCTTTGTTCGTGTGTGTACACATAAGCGGAGATCTGAGAAGTCTGTGGGGGAGCCAGTCGCCTTTGTGTTCCTTGTTAATGTTTATTTTTACAAGCGACTTAATTAATCCACACTTAGTGCGCTCCCAAACACCACCGTTGACAAGGTGCCACAAAGACAAAAGTAAAAGTCTGCCCCCACCCCCCTCCGTATAGCACTCAACAGGCTGCCGGGGCAAGTGCTAGATTTGAAGCTTTCGTGACTGCAAGGATTTTTCGGTAAAGTCACGTAGGGAAAAATAAATAATAAAAATAAATAATAAAAATAATATAAATAATAATCTAAATAAATGTATATATTTATAAATCACATTATTTGATTTCTATTATTATTTCGAATATTTATTTTTATTACTTATTTTTATTATTTATTTTTTCCTACGTGACTTTATCGAAAAAAACTTAAGAGTATGGGGCAAGTGCTGTTAGCTGTTACCTGTTAAGGCCATATACAGGCCGTACACTGAACAGGCTGCCGGGGCAAGTGCTGTTTGCTGTTACCTGTTAAGGCCGTCGTACGCAGCCACAGCCTCCCCCCTTTGTGCGCCATTGTGGCCTTGACAATAACAGCGGTTGTGAGTGGTGTGTAGGGTCCACATGTTTACATTTGCAGCATCGTTCGTGCAACCTGCACCCCTCGCAATCTCTCGGGATCGACAGGAACGATTTGACGGCAGCAGCTCCACGGTGAGCCTGCCGGCGTGACCAACAATTGCCCAAGATCTGCAGTCCCTTGATAGACGAAGATGTTTTCGGCCAATTAATGAGTTTATACATGACCGGTGCTTGCTAACATACAGCGCTTGCCCGCTCACAGTCTCGATACCGTGTATAGCATTCCATGGGTGGAGGAAGACATGGACGTTACGTGTAAAAGCTCACAAGTGTCTTCTTGTGTTTGGTTTAATGCGCCGCATGTTTGTTTACATGCCACGCGTGTTGTGTGTGCGCGTGCACGTATCGGTTAGCGCATCGCGCTATGAACCCGGCGATCCGAGTTCAATTCCTGTTCACGGTCAACACCAGTGATGATGATCTGAACCGGTCCTGGGCCTCCCCTAGGTCGACTCAGCCTTAAATGAGTACCTGGTGCGGCATGCAGTAAACATCGCCACTGGGGAGAGAAAGGCGGTCGGGCGTGGTGCTTTCCACCCAACCCCTCGTGTGCCGTGCCGGCCTTCATAGGGCGCTGCTCGCTAACAGCACTTGCCCCAAAAGTCTGCTGAGGCTTTATGGGGGATCGTTGTCTTTGCGTGTTTATTGAGCTTGCCTCGTGTGATTGTCGATGAAGGGGGTGAAGAGTCCCATCCCTAGCCACGTGGCCACCATGGCTGATGGAACTAAGTTGAAGGGGGGGAGCGTGCAGGGGCGGGGGGGGGGCATGAAGTATGTGGTGAGTGGCTCTCTGGATTGAACTCTAGGGGGGGGGGGGAGTGAATGGGTGGGCCTGCTTCAACCCAGTGGCATCACGGGGATTGTGAGGTTTGGCCCGGCGGCTTGGGGGAGGGCTGGGAGGCCTTCATCCAGCAGTGGGTAGATCACGACGACAGCGACCACAAATCGATTGCCTCAATCGCCGACAGCTGCAGTCGCGCTCCCCTACCGCGCCGTTCCATCGCTCACGCCATTCACGGGGACGGGGGCCCACCACCTCCCCTCGCTCTCTTGCTCCCCCCAGGTTGTGGATCGAGCCGTCTCAGCTCCGACCTCCTGGCCGACGGCTTCGCCTGCGTCACGGCCGCCGACTTCTCCCCGGCGTGCCTGGCGGCCGCGTCGGCGGCGGCCACGGCTCGGCGGCCCCCGGCGGCCCCCCGGCCGCTGTGGCTGGCGCTGGACGCGCGGAGGCTGCCCCTGCGGGCGGCGCTGTTCGACGCGGTCATCGAGAAGGGCATGCTGGACGCGCTGCTGGCGGGCGAGCGCGACCCCTGGCGCGTGTCGAAGGCGGCGCGGCGGCAGGTGGGCCTCGTGCTCGACGAGGTGAGAGGCGGCGGTGGCAACGGCGGTGGTGGTGTGCGTGCGTGTGCATGTTGGGAGGGGTGTTGTAGAGGTTATCGCGCTGCGCTACGAACTCGGCGACCCGAGTTCGATTCATGCTCACGGCCAACACCCAGTGACGACTATTTGCACCGGTCCTGGACCTTCCCTAGGTCGACTCGGCCTTAAATGAGTACCTGGTGCGGTGTGTAGACATCGCCACTGGGGAGATAAAGGCGGCCGGGCGTGGTGCTGGCCACCTACCCGTTTGTGCGCCGTTCCAGCCTTCATATGTGCTCGCTAATAGCACTTGCCCTAACAGTCTATTAAGACTTTTACGGGGGATCTTTGTCTTTTTTTGTTGCATCTATGTCAATGGAAAGTACACAGTGAGGTAGTCATCAGGGCGGCTTGCTGAATTGGAACCGCGAACCTCTGCGGCGAGCGTCGCGCGTCGCGCTAACCGCTGGGCCGCCGCGTCACCGCCCCAAGATCGAGGAGAGTCGGTTTAGGAAGAGGCTGGATCGTGCCTCGAGAAACCTCCTCGTCCTCTTCCTCCTCATCTTCCTCCTCCTCTTCCTCCTCATCTTCCTCCTCCTCCTCTTCTTCCCGGAGTGTTCCCCGGAGGCGGCGAGATTCCACGCGGAGGCCACCGGCGGCAGGGGTCTCAGGAATCACGCGTGGCCTTGACGAATGGGAGCCCATGAATAAATGAACACTGGTGGCGGTGGTGGCGGCTGTGGCGGCGGTGGCGGTGTCAGCGTTGTGGCCTGACCCTCGCCCCCCCACCGCCTCACCCTACCATGAGGCCTGGGAGAGACCGCGTGTGGGAGTGGCGTTAATTATTAATTATTGACGCGCCATGAATACTGCATGCGGCTCTGCTGCTGCGTGTGTGTGCCTGCCTGTTGGTGTGTACGTTTGGGCACGCGTGCGCACGCGTGCATCTGCGCTGGGAAGACAAAGGCGGCCGGGCGCGGTGCCGGCCACCCAACCCATCGTGTGCCGTGCCGGCCTTAATTGGCGCTTGCTAACAGCACTTGCCCCGGCAGTCCGCCAAAGGCTATACGACAGGGGAGCTTTGCCTTTGTTGCGTGCACCTGGCGCTTGCACGTTTGTGCGCACGCCCCCACGTGCGCACGCACCCACGTGTGCATTTGTGTTTTTGGCGTGTGCCGCCAACCCCATCGTGTGTGCCCACCCCTGCCGAAGCCTGCACAGCGCGTTGTTGCTGCTGCTGTTGTTGTTGTTGCTGTTGTTGTTGCTGTTGTTGTTGCTGTTGTTGTTGTTGCTGCTGTTGTTGTTGCTGCTGTTGCTGCTGCTGTTGTTGTTGCTGTTGTTGTTGCTGCTGTTGCTGCTGCTGTTGCTGCTGCTGTTGTTGTTGCTGCTGCTGTTGCTGCTGCTGGCTGTTGTTGTTGCTGTTGTTGTCGTTGTTGCTGCTGTTGTTGTTGTTGCTGCTGCTGTTGTTGTTGCTGTTGTTGTCGTTGTTGCTGTTGTTGTCGTTGTTGCTGTTGTTGTCGTTGTTGCTGCTGTTGTTGTTGTTGCTGCTGCTGTTGTTGTTGCTGTTGTTGTTGCTGTTGTTAGTTGCTGCTGTTGCTGCTGCTGTTGTTGTTGCTGATGTTGTTGTTGCTGTTGTTGCTGCTGCTGCTGTTGCTGCTGCTGTTGTTGTTGCTGCTGCTGTTGCTGCTGCTGGCTGTTGTTGTTGCTGTTGTTGTCGTTGTTGCTGCTGTTGTTGTTGTTGCTGCTGCTGTTGCTGCTGTTGCTGTTGGCGCCCTTCTCGTTATGATTTCGGGTAACTCTGGGAATCGCTTCGTTCCAAATTAAACTATTGTTGTTATTATTTGTTCCGAGTGGGGAGCCGGTGCTGTGACCCAAATTCGCCTCTGGCGGCTTCGTAGCTTTGGGCGTCCTCAGCGAGCGTGCCTATCCTCTTTCTCCTCTCTGTCCTGTCACTCCTCTCTCTCTCCTCTCTTCTCTCTCTCTTCACTTTCCTCTCTCTCTCTCGCTCTTTCAAACAATCACCCGCAGTGAACGACGGAGAGATCCCATCGAGTGAACGACATTCACTCTGCGAGTCTTGTCGAGTGCCCACCACAGCCAGCGTTCCCGTCAGTGAGCTTTACCTTTAAAGGATACAACAAGGAAATAGTTTACTTTTAGTTCTATATATATTTTTAAAGTGATTTGTTTTACCATTTTCCTATACTTTGCACTCACATCGTGCTTTTGCATCATTTGTTGTTGTGACCTTCTGACCCCAACATCTGTGAAAAAGAGCTTTATAGCTCATCGGATTTATCCACTATAAATATTCTGATTGTTTCTGCGAGCATCTCCCCCCCCCCTCGCGAATCGTGACACCCTTCATCCCCACGGCTAGGGTTCAGCTCCGGGTCTGCGCGATGTCAATAGGGGGACGAGAGTGAGTGGAGGACATTGAAGCAGATTTCTTTCAAAGTGGAAAAACACAACCCAGCAGATTCTCCCATGCGATTGACGGTCAGGAGATTGGTTCTTTGGTCAGTCAAGATCTCACGCACGACAAAGAACCAAACAACAAAGATCGCCCGTGTCGCCTTAACAGGCTGCAGGGGGGGAAAGTGCCGGTAGGGAGCAGCATATGAAGGCCGGCACGGCGCACGAGGCTGTGGGTGGACAGCACCACGCCCGGCCGCCTTTGTCTCCCCGCTGACGATGTACCAGGTGCTCGTTCGAGGCTGAGCCGAACGAGGACAGAGCCCCAAGACCGGTTCAAATAATCCCTACCGATGTTGGTGGCCACGAGCAGGAATCGAACTCGGCTCGTAAGCGCAGCGCGCTAACCGCTGTGCCACCACTCCCCCACACGCAGCTGACGTGCCCTGTGCCGCTGCAGTAGCGAGCACCCCCCCCACCACCACCCCACAGCTCGGGTTTAGCCTCTCGCTGACCGATCCGCGCGTTGCGGGCAACCACAGAGTCGCCCTTCCCTGACTTTTGCGGGCGGTCGACTGCCCGCTCACGGCCAACACCGGTGACGATTATCTGAACTGATCCTGGCCCTCCCCTTGGTCGGCTCGGCGTCAAATGGTAACCGGGTGTGGTATGTACACATCGTACCGCTAGGGAGACAAAGGCGGCCGGGCGTGGTGCTGGCCACCCACCCCCTCGGGTGCCGTGCCGGCCTTCGTAGATGCTACCAGCTAACAGCACTTGCCCCTTCAGTCAAGGATACACGGGGGGTCTTTGATGGGGGTGATGGGTGTGCATGCGTGTGTACGCGTGTGTGGCACGTGTGTGCATGCGTGTGTAGGCGTGTGTAGGCATGTGTAGGCGTGTGTACGCGTGTGTGTGTAGGCGTGTGTAGCGCGTATGTAAATGGGTGTAGTCTGTGTGTGCGTGTGTGTAGGCGTGTGTAAATGTGTGTAGTGTGTGTGCGTGCGTGTGTATAGGCGTGTGTAAATGTGTGTAGTCCGTGTGTGCGTGCGTGCGTGCGTGTAGGTGTGTGTAAATGTGTGTAGTGTGTGTGCGTGCGTGTAGTGTGTGTGCGTGTGTGCGTGCGTGTGTAGGTGTGTGTGTAGGTGTGTGTAGGTGGGTGTGTAGTGCTGTGTGCGCGCGTGTGTCACAGTGGTACGAGCGGGTTGTAATCTTTTATTTACGAAAAGCAGCGCACGTCACAGCCCTATCGCGCCGGGCCAATCTGTGCCGGCACAGAGAATTCTAAATGAGCGCTCCCTTCTTCTTCTTCTCCTTCATCAAACGGCTGATTAAACAATTATTTCATTATTATTCTTATTACATATCGCATCAATAACACAGGCCAGAGGCGCAGCCCTTCAACAGAGCGCCCACGTTCCCGCTGGCGGAACGGCGTCCGCAGAGAGAGCCGCCTCTCCAGGGTGTTGTGGCCGACTCTCTCTCTCTCTGGCTCCTTGGCTCAGACATCTTGGGAGTTATACCCACACTTTGCCCCACCTTCACCCGACCAGCCAGCCGATCGACTGGCCGTGGGGTTTATCTACCCGCCGAGTCTGCAGGGCGAGTGTGGCTGTGGGACAAAGGGTTTTGAGAAACTTTTCAGCGCCGCGTCAGCTGCCGCGCCCGGAGATCGAATCTGGATGGCAAGTTTACATTACAAAGGCTCAGTTCCAGCAGCAGTACTGACCATCTCACAACTCCTCCTCTCCCGCGGCCCTTCCTGGCTCCTGTGACAGTTTCACCTGAAGACGGAAGCTTGTGTTGCCTCCGAAACGTCGTGATTTTTTTAATTAATTTTAATTTCATTTTTTACCTACGTGACTTTACCGAAAGAACTAAGAGTATGAATCCTTGCAGTCACGAAAGCTTCAAATCTAGAATGGATGGCAAGTCCAGTGCGCTGACCCATTGCATCTGGCAGCAGCCCTACATTGTGTGTGTGTAGTGGTTCTTCTTAACCTGGGGTGCACGCTACCCCCTGGGATGGGAATTGCCCTCTCTGGGGGTGCGAGACATTGACGTTTTTTTTGAGAAGGTAAATCATCGAAAACACAAATTAAGTATGGGCATGTGAGTACAACTACTTTCATAATGCAGGTTTTTTTTGTTGGGTTAGATCGCGTGAATATTAATGTGTCGTTAAACCCGCCACCACCCGACACAGCCAATTAGTAAGGTTTGTCACGTAAACAGAACGTGCCAATTCGTCACTAGTACAGCAGCACCGGTGTGTTGGAGAGCAAATCCACGACATTTACAAACCCCACCAAAAAACCTGTATTATGGATGATATTTGTCGCAAAAGCCTACTGCGTAGTTAAATACAACTACTTAGTTTCAAGCAACCCCTATGTATTTATTAACATTTATATTTTAAAAAATACGATTGAGAACCAAAGGGGTGCAAGGCTGCGGTAAAGGTTAAAAATCAAGTTTAACAGTCCAGGAGACTTGATTAATGGTCACGATTCGATTGAAGAATCTATTGCTTTATTGATTATAGCGGCCGCTAGGAGTTGCAACGGGCTCACGTGAACTCGTTAAGT